CAAACATACCCCATCTGTCATGCCTGTCTCAAGTCTGTAGGAGAAGAGCTTTAACACTCTTCATATTGCATTTGATCTTTAGCCTTCTATCATGATGACCCTCAGTTTGGGGAGACATTTCATTTTATATCATAGTAATAAAATAAAAGGACCTATTAATTGTGTCAGGTTAGTTAAGCTCAGTGGTCAGCAAACTCATTAGTCAACAGAGCCAAATACCAACAGTACAGTGATTGAAATTTCTTTTGAGGGCCAAATTTTTAAAACTTAAACTATATAGGTAGGTACATTGTTAATAACTTAATTAGAGTACTCCTAAGCTGGCCTTTGCTAAAAACATTCTCAATCTGATTGAGGCATGTGGCTCGCAAGCTGCGGTTTGCCAACCACTGGTCTAGCTGACTAGGGAAGGTGTTATTGAGGTCACAGGTTTGTCCTTGTAGAAACTAGCTAACTCTTATAGGCAGGAAGCCAAAGTGCCAAAGTCTAACCCATCCAGTTGAAACTGTATAGAGTATGATCCAGAAACCTATATTAATTGGCCTCTGTTAAAGTCCGATTTCTATATTTTATTTACATCATCTTCCCACTTAAATGTGTTCCACTCCTACAATTCCTATCTCATTTAATGGCACTGTTAACCAGTCATCCAGACCAGAGACATAGGACACATCTTGGACTCTTTCTGCTCCCTTCAGCCCCACTTGTAATCATCCTCCATGCAGTTAGGTTCTGACTCTTAAGTACCCCTCAGGGCATCCCTTGCCTCCTCCATTTTCTGTCATCATTTGTCTTAAAAGCAATGCTAATAGCTGTAGATGGCCAAGCAAAGAATAATAAATATTAAAGCAAATAAGTGCCTTCTCCACCCTTCCTCCATCTTTCCCTATCCTCCCCTTGCAAAAATAAACAAATCAGTCCATACCACTACTGCTGCAGTGACCTTTATAAAAGGCAATCTGAACCTTGTTGAAAATCCACAAGTGATTCTTATTGCCCATAGAATCAAATCCTAACCTCTTAACCCAGAATACAAAGCTCTTCATTATCTGGCCCCAGCCAACCTATCTAGTCCAGTGTTTTATCTTATCATCCCCCTCACACACACATACACCCTGACCTCCCACATGAACTGCAAGTGCTGCATACTCTTGGGTCTCTCCTGCCTTGCTTGGTTAGTGTCTACACATGTCAGTCACTGTGCAAGTGGTATCCTACCTCCTATTATCTGTCTGGTGGCTGGCCAGATTTGGTTCTCATCCACTCTGGGATACCTCCCTTGACCATATTTCCTGTCCCCCTTTTCAGCAGATGTAGGCCCTGTCTCTGAATTGTTCACAAACCACCCTTGTGTCACATTTCATACTATGCCACAGTTTGTCTTTTCTGTCTCTTCTTCCACTGGCTCTGGCATTTTATTATTGTTGCTCTTCCACACAACCCATTACTTGTAGTATTTCCTATTATTTAAATTGTTCTTAGCGTTTTTTTCTTTTACAGAAAGTTATCTTGGATTGATAAATTCTCTTACTTTTCCTGACCTTTTCCATTTTGGGATGCCAGTAACCACCTCCTCTCTCATAATGCTTTATGCCTATTATTTGTCCTCTTATCCAGGATTGTACTTGCTGCTGATGAATATAAATAGGCAGATGTACTGCTTCTTTGGTTTTAACATTTGGCTTTTCATTTCTCTCAAAGCCATTGAAAGTCAGGGACTACATCTGTTTAATTCTTTGTATTGTTGCCTAAAACAGCCAACCACTGCTATTACCACACACATGACTTATAACTGCTTTCTGATAATAGAAAACAATGGTTTGATAAAGAAGAATGGTAAATGTTGAACATTTACACATTTGTACTGATGCAGATTGAGGAAGAAAAAAACTCTTGACTATGGAGTTTTTAAGCATTGCTTGTTTATGGAAGAGCAGGTGGTAAAATTGATCTTATAAAAAGATAATTTAATGTTTTTTAGATTTGTTGTTTTGTCTCTGTCAAGTCTAGAAAAGCATATTGAAAATCAAATAGAGCTAAAACAGTACTTTGATACATCAATGCAAGGAACATTTGGTTGTAGTAAATTAGGATTTGTTATAGAAATGTCATAATGGCCAAAGGACTGAAATGTACAGAGGATGTAGCAAAAGCTGCAGTTTTAGATATCTTTCTCATACAAATCATTATCTATGAAGTCTTAGTAATACAGGCATAAACAAAAATTGCTAGAATGATTCCCAAAATAAAATCTGACACTTTAATAGCAAAAAGCATTGTATATTATATATGCATGTTAACATAATGGCTGCTGTTCTGAGGACTCCTTAGAAAAATACTGAGAATTTATTAACTCATACTTGGGAAATAAACACACTAGTAAAGCAGGAAAATCTACTTAGAAATTGGCAATGATCTAAAGAGGTAAGTGTCTCTTCTGCGATAACATCAAATTTTCCTAAAGTTAAGCCCTGGCCGGTGTGGCTCAGTTGATTGGAGCATCGTCCGATACACTCAAAGATGACAGGTTCGATTCCTGATAAGGGCACATATCTAGGTTGTTGGTTCCATCCCTTGGGAGGGGTGCGTATAGGAGGCAACCAATTGATGTTTCTTTCTCACATTATTGTTTCTCTTCTCTCCCCTCCTTCCTCTCTCTAAAATCAATAAAAACTGTATACTCAGGTGAGGATTTAAAAAAAAAAAATTATCCTAAAGTTAAGTGAAAATTGTTTACAGCACGTTGATGTGGCGTTTAGGCATAGGAGTTTGTTTTCGGTTTTCTCTCTCTCTTTTTTTCAAGGATTCCCCAAAATTATTTTTTCCTTTTTGATTGGATATTCCTATTTACCATAATCATTTTTTTTATAATCCTCATCCGAGGATATTTTTCCATCGATATTTGGAGAGAGGGGAAGGGCGAGGGAGAGATAGAAACACCCATGTGAGAGAAACACGTGGATTGGTTGCCCCCAAATTCTCCCAATCAGGGCTGGGAGTCTGTAACCAAGGTATGTGCCCTTAATTGGAATTGAACCCAAGACACTTTAGTTTCTGGACCAATGCTCTATCAACTGAGCCACACCAAGGCTACCATACTCATTTTTAAACAAAGCAGTGTCCAAATGTTATTTTAAAATACACTTTATTGTCTTATATAATTTTATAATTAAAATTATATGTTCTTTTTAAGCCCTTGTCTTAACTAGTTTGTCTGTTTCTGAGCAAGAAATTAGGAATTTTGGAAACTCTTTGGGAATTTTTAAAGACTATACTGTTTTTTATAAGTTATGTGCTTCATGACACTATCATTTGATAGTGACTTGAGTCTTTGTGTATGTGGTTTGCTTGTTTTTAATAGAAAAGCTGATTCCCTAATTATGAACATTGGGATGGTGGATGGAAAATAGATATTTTTTCCCTGAGGTATTTATCAGGGGTCTTTATTGAGAGATGTTAAGAGATATTCATGAGGAAAAGGGAGAGCATTGTCATAAGTTTGGAAGAATACTTGATAGCCTTTATCATAGTACTTCAATGTCTGCCTTATTATATTAAAGGGACTGAGGAGTGGCCACAGTATATAAATTGTTTAATTTTGTATAACCACTTTTTTTTCAAACATTTGACCGCAGAATGCTTTTTGCACAGAATACCTAGTAACAGTCCTTGAAACATGTTTTCTAAGGGCAGAGTTTAGAAAGTATTGCACTAACCAACAACACCAATAGGTCAAAATTAATACCCTTTTCAAAATCCCAATTTACAACAAGGAAATAATTATTAAGCATATCTGTCCAGACATCTGGATTTCACATGAGCCAGTCTTCCTGAGTGCTAGTGGATCTGGAGTATCCTGTGTGTTATAGACATCTGTTTAGAAATCTGTGGTGGAAAGAGGTGGAGGTACATCTCTGATGTTATTTTATGATATATTTAACACTTTGTTTTCTTAGGAAAATTTTGAAGCATACAAAAAAGAAGAGCTATGAACTGTTTATCAGTTACTGAAAATAATGGTTCAGACGTTTTAGACACTAGATGTTCCATTTAAAAAGAAACACAAATATTTTAATTGGACCATCTTTTATAAAATTAATTTCTTAAGTGATTCTAATTCATATAGTGAATATTTTCCCCAGCAGTATTCAGATGTTTTACAAAGTGCTGATTCAGCAGCAGCAGACCAGATAACAAAAATGACAAAAATAATCTCATAGCTAAACCTCATAATCAAATAATTTTTCTCTTCATGTTTTTGCCAACTCTTTTTTCACTATAAAAGGTAGTATTGATGGTGAGTAGATTAGCAGTAATGACCTCCTGGAGTCATTTTATTTTTCCCTTCTTTTGTTACTCCCCCCTGACCCCCCATCTCATCAGACAGTATTGTGTATTCCTACTTGGCTTAGGTAAACTGATGTCTCTGAAAAAAGCAACAAATCAAAACAAGCTTCAAGAGAAGTTTCTTTTATTTCTCTGTCTTCTTTGTCAGTGTCAAACTCAGGGTTTGGCTCATCCCACTGTAGTGGGGAGAGTGAGATTCTGTTGATTAGTTTTCAGTGGTCGGCAAACTCATTAGTCACCAAAGCCAGATTTCAACAGTACAACCATTGAAATTTCTTTTGAGAGCCAAATTTTTAAAATTAAACTTCTTCCAAATAGACTCACCTAGGCTGTGGTATTTTGTGGAAGAGCCACACTCAAGGGGCCAAATAGCCGCTTGTGTCTCGAGAGCCGAAGTTAGCCGACTATGGGTTTAGGTCAATTATGGTGTGGGATATAATCAATTCTACCATACCTCCATGGCCTGGAGATTTTTGGGTAGGAAATGGGGAAACAATCAGTAATGCCCTTTACTCCAAATAAGACCACTTTTAAAAATTTACAACATATGCTATACTAGTTATTTTTAATATCCAATGAGATATTCAGTATTTCTATTTTTGTATTTCTAAATGTATTAATATTAACAAATCATTTTTCTTGGGTCTTTTTAGAGGACAAGAATTTTGGGCAGATTTGAATGCCATGAATGTGTATGAAACAACTGAATTTGACCAACTACGAAGGCTGTCCACACCACCCTCTAGCAATGTCAATGCTATTTACCACACAGTCTGGAAATTCTTCTGTAGGGACCACTTTGGATGGAGAGAGTATCCTGAGGTATTTAAAGGATTTTTAAATCCACAAAAGTACATTTAAATGTTTTTGTCTTTCATTGTTCTTTTGTTCTTCCTTTCCAACAATGATTACACAGAACTACAAATCAAAGAGCTTCTGGTTATAAATATAAAATTCAGTCTTGTTGATATAAGTAACACTTTTCTCTCTTCATTTTTCTACAAATGTATTTTTTCACATTAAATCATGGAATCCATAAGTAGAATACTTCTATTATTAGATAAAATGTTTCCCCCGTAACTTATATTATGGAGAGAAAGTCTTTAGAGTTATAAGTATTCAGACTCAGAGCAGTTTTTGGAGTAATTTTAATGAGATTAGTACTGGTGTAACTTTTGGTTGTAACTGGTTCTTGGGACCATGGTGATTAGATAATGTGTTATGCTTAGCATTTCAGAAGTATAGTGGGATACAATCACTCTTAGGCCTGTGAAAGAAGTAATAAAAATGTTTATTGAGCTATAGTTAGGCACATTCGTTATTTAAAATTGTATCAAATGTGCACATGCATCCTTAGTTTAAGGTGATAAGAATAGCTTATCACAAAGCAAAATTTTAAAATGGTGATAGTTTATTTGCCTCTAAATGAGAATTCCAAGATAAGTTTAAACACCTTGAAATAGACTTTAGAGATTAATTTCACGTTCCAAAGATGTGACTTCAGTTTGATCAAATTTCCAACATTAAGAAAAGGGGAAACTAACTTAACTACCTTAGGTTTTCTTTTAAGGCAATAACTAAAGTAAATGACATAGTATTTTAATTGCTATAAAACACAATATTGAATTAAAAATTTGACTCTCTTTTAAGTAATCACTAGTATCTAATACCTTCCAAAGAGAACAAGAGGCTATATAAAAAGTATTCTTAGAATATTTGGACTATCCCTTTGTTTGTCTTCTGAGAGATTTTTTTTTAGGTTTGGAATTTATTTATTTGAACACTACCTTCTTTAATTCTCTTCTGAAAATTCCCTTAAGAAATATTAAAAAAATCTCGTTTCCTCTTCCGGGGATGGTGTCCTCAGGCATTGAGAATAGTTCAGTGTTTGACACACTGTCAGAGACTGTCCTCTAATGCAGCCTCTAACAAAATTAGACTGTCCTGAACCCCTGTTATTTGTTTACCTTTATACCAATATGGTTGGGAAAGCTCCAAAATCTGCATGTGGCCTGTGCCATGGCCAACTTTACAGAGTTTGTCCTGTGAGACCCGAAGTTGTAATAAGGTTGTCTAAAATGAGAAAACATGCCAGCAGGATCACCAGTGTCCAGGAGCAAAAAAATAAATAAAAAATTGTGAATGTATTGAAAGCACTAGCACAGAGTGAGAAATCTAAATTTTTTAAAAATGAAGCTTTTTTTGAGTAATTAAAACAATTAGAAGGCTAAATTAAAAAAATAAACATTGCATATCTAGGACATTGTAAGGCCTCAAAATAGAAGAGAGCCCTGGGCCTCACAGGTTTCTTAAGTGGAAATCTGTGCTCTTCTAAACAGGGAGCATCTTTCTACCCTATATCTTTGCTCCAAAAGATAGGGCAAAAAAATTTCTATGTATAAAGGGAATAATTTGACTCACTGTACTTTATTGAAACTCTTATGATATTAACAGCAAGATTAACTATGTGTGGCTTTAGTAACATTAAATAGTGATTTAATGTTAACACTAACATTTCATAGTGATTGTATATTAAGTTACTTTTTTTTCCTTTATCTTCTGTTTACTACTCCATAGACTGTTATTCGGTTGATTGAAGAAGCCAACTCTCGGGGTCTGAAAGAGGTTCGATTTATGATGTGGAACAACCACTACATTCTCCACAACTCATTTTTTAGGAGAGAAATAAAAAGGAGACCCCTCTTCCGCTCTTGTTTTATATTGCTTCCATATTTACAGTAAGTGTCAGTGAAAACTCATTTTTACTCTGATTTTATGTTAATGTACATGTGAATGCCAAGGAGAAAAAAATTAAGTTAAAAAAACTAACGTGGGTATTACCTCTAGAATGTGAAATTCTAAGTTATTCTTTGGGCTTAATTTTTCAAAAAATAGAATAGATAAGACATAGTTAACTAACACTAAAAGAGTGATTATTATATTAGATTTTTTAAAATGACAGCATAGTAAAATTAACATTTTTTCACAATTAAAAGTAATTATACCTGGAATAAGGCAAAATTTGCATATGCCTCCTTCATGCAAAATTGACATTTCTGATGATACCCTTCTGTGTATGGGACTACTTCTCAGTCCCAGAAAACTACCAGGTTAGGTAGGGAGAAACCTTTAAGGTGATGTTCTCCATTCTTCTTCCTTGAATGCATTTGCATAGGAAGAATTCACCTTTTCAAATAATTTACATTTTCATTTGCTAAGTAAGGCGCATCTTCCTATAATATTGACTAAAATTACTTGTGGCACTTTTAAGTTGAGGCTGAACTCATCCTTCTGAATTATAGGTGGCTCTTGCAATTTTCCCAAGTGCCATTTCTTCTTTCCCTCTCTAGATAGCCCACTCACCCATCTTTATAAATGTGAAAAGGTGGGGCACATTGCCATTTGCGTAGCCATCTGTGAAAGTTAGTGTCTCAAGGGAAATCTTTATATACTCTAGTCAGATATACTCTATTTAGAGCCTGATTTTTAAAATGATACTAGGTTTACTTGGTTTTATTAACTTCAGAGGTTAGAGTAATATTGGTTGGTCCCTTCTGTTGATCTTTGAGTTGAAAATGCTCTTTCTATATTCTTAATAGTAGTTTTGTTTTATTCAAGTTCAAAATGTGTATTTCCCAGATCATTATGACAGAATCTTAACGATTCTAATTCTGAGATTGCAAAGGAAACAATCAAACAAAATAGAAAACAAATAAAATCCATGAAATTCTCAGGATCCAAAAGTACTGTGTAATAAGTCCAATTTTAGAAATACAATTTTGCTTTGGTAAATGTGTGCTTTTCTTTCTTGTCCAAATGTGAAAAATTTTACCTTATGGTTTTTAAAATTAGAAATGAATAAGAATGCCAATTCTGTGATTTCATTAGCATAGTTGGAGATAGTGTCAATATCCAATAGTTAAGAACACATTGTCAACCTAGTGAGATGGTGAAACTCATTAGTGAGAACAGCATCTTGGCATGCTGAGTCAGTTGAGTGAGATGTAACTTCTATGTGAGAGTAAGAATACTCATTCAAGTGCTACATTGTTGAGGGACTTCCATAGAATGGTGAAAATTTGTTTTGATCCTAAGATAAGTAATTATGAAATGCTACCTCTTTCCCCCCCTTTCAAAACCTAAGCTTGTTTTGTAAAAGTATAAACTATAATATAAGCAGTAGGAAAATTAATGTTACAAATATGGACTTACTATTTCTAACTTAGGTTTACTGAGAACAAAGTTCTTTAATTTTCTTTTTAAAATTTCCTATTTTAGTGTTGCCTGGAACAGTGGTAATCAGGTATAAAGTAAGAGTTTAGCAAATCAGATTGTGCAGACATGTCAGTGAGAAAGGAGTAGAGAAGCATCACGTTCATCAGGGTCGAATGGGTAAATGCAGCCCTTCAATTCCCATCCCATGAGTCTGGGCCTAAGGGGTACTCGGAGAGAAAGAGGAGTGAGTTAATTCTAAAAGCAGGTTTCAGAACATCTATTTTTCAGTAGTAAATCTGTTTACTAGTCCATAGACTGTTACTTGATTGATTTCAGAAGCCAACTCTCGGAGTCTGAAAGATCATGATTTTAGCCAGAAAAAAAAAGTTTGTTAAGTGCTAGTAAATACGAAAGGTCAAAGAAAAACATAAGTGTCAAAAAGCCACAATTATTAGGGAATCGGAGATATCTAGGAATTGGGAAAGCCCTGGGTAGGGAGGTTGTAAGATGATTGGGGAGGGAGGCTGACTTAATTCACAAATTTCCTGCAAATTTAGCTCTTTAAATGAGGGTTTCCCTGCTCCTTTTTTTCTTCCAGTTTTATTTATAATTGACAAGCAACACTGTTAAGTTTAAAGTGTACAGCATAATGACTTGATATGTGTATATATTATTAATACAAAATGATTACCACAGTAAGTTTAGTTAACATCCATCACCTCAAAGTTAAAAATAAATTTTTTTTCTTGTGCTTGCTCTTTTTTCATGGGGCTGATAAAAAGGAGCTTATCCCACTGAGACTGGTTTGGCTCAGCAGTAGAGCATCAATCTGTGGACTGAAGGGTCCCAGGTTCAATCCGGTCAAGGGCATGCACGTTGGTTGCGGGCACATCCCTGGTAAGGGGTGCGCAAGAGGCAGCTGGTCGATGTTTCTCTCTCATCGATATTTCTAGCTCTCTCTATCCTTCTCCCTTTCTTTCTGTAAAAAATCAATAAAATATTTTTTTTAAAATAATAAAAAAGGAGCTTATTCTTTAATATTCTGAGAATATTTGTGCTGAGGTTGCATAAAAGCAAACAAATCTCAGGTTTAGAGGTTTGTGAGTTCATTTCAGCTGAAAAGACATCTATTCCATGCAATCACCTCATGGTTATGAGAAGGCCTGATACAGTTTCCTTAGCTTCTCCTCTCAAAAGGGCAAAACGAATTAGTTTTTGGTTTATTACTGAAGTTGGGTTAGGAAACCTCTTTCAAAATGACAAGGGAGAGGGAAGGTAAGTGATAAAAGGTGACCTTGGATTCTGAAAATCCATTTGTCAGAGGTCCTTGCGTACAAGTTCCTTACCCTCCAGCTTTGCCTCTCTAAAGAGACTGGTGTAACACTGTAAAGCACATGTATGTCTTTGGAATACCTATGAGTTGACTACAAACTCAGCGTTCTCAGAAAATAAAGCCACATTTCTAACTGTGCTTGGGATATACATATTTTTAACCCATGTCAACTAGGTTGTATAACTCCACCAGACATATGTATATGCATTTTTATGTTTAGCCCAATTAGGACATTGGCTTGTTAAAAGTAAGCATCTATTGATGGGAATGGGTGCTGACTAGATATATATGATATAATTTAGTATCTTAAGATGGATGAGACTTGGTTATACTGGCTCATCTTCAGGTATGTATGAGTAAATAACAGACCCCATTCCCTCTGAAAAAGGAAAATATAGGTTTGAAACTTCTATTTTACGGAATTGTTGTGTTTTTGTTGAGAGAGGAATGGTATTAGAAAGAATAGAAGCAGACTGTACTCTATTGTTAGTGTCACGTTTTCAGTAGAGTTGCAACAGCCTAAAACCTGTTTTGGGCAATATGGTTGGGAAGAATCTTACTTTACTCCTTCAACACAGAAACCTCTGTTGCTAGCTTCAATCCCTGATAAAACTGGAAAACCTGGTGTGCTTGGATTTAACCTTCTTTGCAGTGCAGGGATATGAGTGACAGCTAAAAATAAGGAGCTTATATTCTGTGTTTCCTGCCATCTTCCAGAATTGTGATGGCTTTTAATCAGAATCTGATTAAAACAGTGAGGCCTTTCCAGAAATATGTACCAGTGACAAAGGTTCTGAGGGGATCTATCAGAGCGTGGTGAAAATGCTCCAGAAGCCAAGAACTGTTGTGCCTTCTGTCATCAAAGTTGGAGAAACCAGCACTCTTTTAAATCTGCCCCTGCACTTAAAACCACCTGGGGGATACAGGGACTTCAAGGCAGGTTAAATCAAAAGCATAGCTTGAAGGGGTGGGGATTGAAGAAGGGAGTTGTGCCTCTATTAATCGTTAGCTTCTTATCAAGTCATCTCTTAAAAGGCAAAGGACTATGTGAGGTGGTGGTAGTGGTAGCCAAACAAACCCGAGTTCTAATCCTGATATCCATCACTTTTAAGCTTTGTTTGTATATATTGGGGGAAATGGAAAAATACATACTCTTTCCATTTCCACATATTTCACATATGCACTTAGAAACTAGTAGACCTTGATTAAAATCCTGTCTTTGGTCTTTGCTGGTTCCGCCAGCAATTTTTTTTTTTTTAAATTTGTAAAGTAAGGATAAGCAATCTATCTTATGACAGGGATACTATATGTAAAATGCCTGGTTTGTAGTATGTGCTTACTATAAGGTGGCTATGATTATTAGGAGGAGGAGGATGAAATATGTGCTGGAGATTAGATGCATGTTCACCCACAATTGGAACCTCTGTGACACAAAGCTCTTGGAACATTTCACTCCTAATCTGTTTGGCAGACTTGTTGCTTCCTTGTGATCACTACATGCTGATGAATGTTACAGTACCCTAAACCTGAATCTGGGACTTTGAGTCAGGATTTCCTTTCTCTCTGCTTCTTCCTTTTTGCTCTGTTTTGAAAATGGTCAAGAAATATGATTTGAATTTAAGCATTTAATCAGGCCAGAATAAGTAACTGAGCAAGTTGCTGCTTATCTAAATTTATCTTTCAAATTCATCTAAATTTAAAGGTTCAAGAATATGCATTTTGGTATAGAGCTTAAAGTAATTAGAGCCATCATGTCTAAAATTGTAAAATTTGAATAGGATTGGTGTTTTTTGTTGCTGTATATGATACTGAAAAATGAATGCCAAATGTCAGTTTTCAATGCCTATGCTATGATTTTGTTTGTTTTTATAAAAATTATAAAGTTTAAGCTTTTTTATTTTTAATATTTTGTGTCTTCTCTCTGTAAGCTCCCTCTTTTCTGCCTGCCTCACTTTTTTCTCCCCTTTATTCTGCTCTCCTTACTCCACATAGATGTTAGTAATGATATGTTTCCTATTTAGTACAGCAAAGTTTGAAGAACACATATAAATTATCGCTGCTCCCTTAAAACAAAGTTTCTTTAACTATATAGGCAAAAGAGAAGTCCAGGATTCAAAGAGTAAAAATATTTATAAATTTGTTCTTGTTTGCTTACCTTGCAGCAGTATATGCTATAGTTTTTTCCCACAAAGAGGAGACCAGGAGGAAGCAAATAATATCTATTTAAAGGCAGTTTTTGTTCTAAAATTTCTTTTTTCTTTTATCAATAGCTTTTAAATGTTTTTAAGCTATACAACAAGCTTTTAAGCTATACAGATTAGGCATTGCTATAGTGCACTCTAATGGAAATGCTCTGAGTGGTTTACATTGACATTTCTTATTCTCCCTTCTAGGACACTTGGTGGTGTTCCCACGCAGGCTCCTTCACCTCTTGAAGCAACTTCATCATCACAAATCATCTGCCCAGATGGGATTACCTCAGCAAACTTTTACCCTGAAACTTGGGTTTATATGCATCCATCTCAGGACTTTATCCAAGTGCCTGTTTCTTCAGAGGACAAAAGTTATCGAATTATTTACAATCTTTTTCATAAGACTGTGCCTGAGTTTAAATATAGAATTTTGCAAATATTGAGAGTCCAAAACCAGTTTCTTTGGGAGAAATATAAAAGGTGAGTCAGTAGTATGAAAAGTTTAAGAGAGCTTTTCTTAATATAGCTAAGGACAAGTATGGAACCTAATAGTAAAGACTTGCATAGAAATTAATATATTTGTGTTTTTTATATGTTAGCTCTCATATAATCCTTATAACAGACCTATAAGTAGGAGTTGAGTATTGTAGTATACATTTTACAGAGAGGAAACTGAGTATAAAAAAGGTTAGTAATTTGCCAAAGGACATACAGCTAATAAGATGCTGGAATTGGGATCCTAGCAGTCTAGCACCAGAAACCTTGCTCTTAATTACTCTACTAGGCTGCCTCTCAAGTCAACAAACCAATTAATGTAGTGCAAAAGGAATACATGTAGGTTTGAGGAATCTCATAATTAAGAGGCATTAGGTTGTGGAATTAGACAAGGAAGGTAAAATGTGAGAACTAGTTTTAAAGTGGAAGAGAAAGCATGTGAACAGTTGGTAGAGGAAAAAAAGAAAAGGGCTTTTATCTGCAGCGGAAATTATAAGCTTAAACTTTTAATATGATCATTGATGGCATTTTGCTCTTGCTAGCCACTTTAACATCTCTTCCCCATTGAAACCATAAGGAAGTTTATGACCACATCATGTCTTTTAAATTGATGCTACCTTCTTTCTTCTGAATTCCCTATCCACTCTTGCATTAGGAAAAAAGAATATATGAACAGGAAAATGTGTGGCCGTGACAGAATAATAAATGAGAGGCATTTATTTCATGGAACATCCCAGGATGTGGTAGATGGAATCTGCAAGCACAACTTTGACCCTCGAGTCTGTGGAAAGCATGCTACAATGTTTGGACAAGGCAGTTATTTTGCAAAGAAGGCAAGCTACTCTCATAACTTTTCTAAGAAGTCCTCCAAAGGAGTCCATTTCATGTTTCTGGCCAAAGTGCTAACTGGCAGATATACGATGGGTAGTCATGGCATGAGAAGACCTCCTCCCGTCAATCCCGGCAGTGTCACCAGTGACCTGTATGACTCTTGTGTGGATAATTTCTTTGAGCCTCAGATTTTTGTCATTTTTAATGATGACCAGAGTTACCCTTATTTTGTTATTCAATATGAAGAAGTCAGTAACACTGTTTCCATTTGAAAAATCTCGGTACTGCTAAATTATTTGATATGGACTCAATCCAGCATTTGTAGCAGGTTTTGGATGGGTGGGAGAGAGTGGGAAACAGCATTGGACATTATTAATAGGGCACTTTTAAGACCCATTTTTTTAAGTGTTAGAAAGTAAAAAATTTTTTAAAACAAGTTTTAAAATGACCACTTACTCTTTAATTATTTACTAATTGTTAGTGTACTCAGTGTGGGAAAGACTACAGATTGCATACTCTTCATTCACACTTGTACATATAGGCAGCAATGTTATTAGAAGCATTAAAAAAAAACAAAAATCAAACAGCCTAACTAATTGAATGTGACTTAAGCCTGGTAGAAGTTTGGCCAAATGAAATGCAAGCTGTTAATAGAGAGAGGATTTGGTATATTTACAGTGATTAAACTGACTGGAACTAGTATTATTCTGCAGACTCCCTGTCCAAAGTGGAAAGAAATATTTCTATCAGCAGAACTGAAATGTATCACTGAACCAAAGCATACCAATGACTTTAACTTTTGCAGAGTTTGCCTGAGAATTCAGAGTTCTGTTAGAGGAAGTTTAAAAAAAGGAACTATTTGAAAAATTTTTGTCATCAGCAAAATTTTTTATTAGCCTGTTATAGGTGATTCTTGTGTTGTTACACTTCAGCCTTGGAAAAAAGTCTCTCCCATTATCCACTCAGTTTGAAGGAGTTGGGCAGCTAATTTGGTTAAAGCCAGTTTTGAAGATTAGGAGTATTACTTTATTTTAGGGTTCCAGAGCTAGGCCCTGACAGGGTTTTAGAGAAAGGAAGTACATCTGTAACCAAATTGATAGGGCTTATTACTGTGCTTTTCACAAAGTAGACTCTCCAAAATATTTGCTGACTTGGAAATACTATTAAAGGTGGTAATCCCACCCCTATGCCTGCTTTGCCAGATGCAGCTGGGTTCCCTGGCTGGCTCTGAATTTTACACTACTTAATAGAAACACAAAGTGGGAAGTTGTGCTACTGGCCCAGCTGGAGCAGTGTTAGATGAATATGCTGACACCTCAGTTCAGAGAGGTAGCAGCTAAGTTTACTTTGCCTTAAGCAAAGCAAACACCTGATTTACAAAAGTGGAAGTGGCTGTTCACAAAAGAATTCACAGAATTCCTTCAGTTACCAAGCTTTCTGAGTATTTGTAGTCATTTCATTTACACAAAACTTTTCAGGAACTTCTGTGTTATTTAAAGCAAGATATATCTATATTGATGTCTCAGTGAATCAGTCTGTTTAAACACTTCAGGGCTTCCACACCGTTATTTATTTTGCTCTAGTTGATCTTGTTTGCTGCCATTGGCATGAAGCGGCCAACTGTGGCTGTTACAATTGTTGTTTCAATTAGAACTTGTAAACCTGTGATTCCCAATCTTTTTCAAGTTAAGACACCCTACCATTGCTTATTTGATTTTATGAAACTTGTTCCTTTTTCCCCCCTAAAGAAAAAAAAAAAGCTTTATGATATATTTATTTTTTTAATAAAAACTAAGCAAAAATAAAAGCTCTGGTAATTCTTTAAAACTTTTTGCTTTGGTTCCATTTAAAATAACTGAATTTAACACAGCAGATGATCTATAAATGATGGTTGGTTGATTGGTTGGTTGAATGAGTGATTGAATGTGCAGAACTAACTAGAACCTGCTGCTTAAAATCAGCAGAAAGGATATTATCTAACAATGGACTAAGTCACCAGTGAAGAGTGAATTTTTTATTTTGCAGGTAAGTATTTGGGGCATCTTAAAAGGGGCATGTTTTATATCAGCAAACAGCTATAGTGCAAAATATGAGCAGGGCTGTCCCTTCCAACAGGTGCTGAAGGAAATAGAAAAAGGAATTATAGAAATCTTGTCAGCTCTCAAGCATTTTAGCTTTCAGCCAATTTAGTCATCTGATTGGTAAATGTGAGCATCTGACAGTATTTAACCTTCAGTGTAATAATTTTGAAATTCCTATATAATATTGTATGTTGTTTTAACTAAGCAAGAACTATGGAGTTAGCCCAGCCTGCATGGCTCAGTGGTTGAGCATTGACCTATGAACCAAGAGATCCCAGTTCGGTTCCTAATCAGGGCGCATGTCCAAGTTATGGGCTGTGGGCTCTATCCCCAGTGTGGGGTGTGCAAGAGGCAGCCAATCAATGAATATCATTGATGTTTCTATTTCTCTCTCTCTCCCTTCCTCTCTGGAATCAGTATAAATATATTTAAAAAGTAACTATGGAATCAGTTTCAATTTTATAATGGTTCTATAGATTTAAAACATACTGAAAGGCATTCAGTAAATCTTTATCTCTATTAGCCCAGCTATAATTTATACCATTTCAGAAAGTTGAAACTTAATAAAACTGTGATAGATTTCTAAGGGGAGTCTGCAGACTCCCCAAGATATTTCAGTGCTATACAATCCATGTACAAGACAATTTTTTTGTGTGTTAAAAACTTACAAATATTGGATCCTAGGTAATTATAAATTGTAAAACTGTGCTATTAGCCTGAAACCTGTTTATTTAGTAAAGTATTATTTGGATATAACAATAAGTCTTGAAATGCTGATATTTATAGGAATTGTTATTATACTAAGTCTAAAAAAGAGAATATAGTCAACACCCAAATTGTACCTGTCAGTTTAAATCAGAGTATTTTTTTCCTCTTAAGGAAGGTAAGATGACCACAAAATGTTTCCAGTTTTTCTTCATTGGGATCAAATAGTCAAAATGCATAGAAAATTTGGTATAGCACTTTTCTAATATCAAATTCACATCACTTAAATTGCTATTATGTGGGAATTTTTTTTTTAATTGTAGCTTCCTCTTCTGTTTGATAAGTCACATAACCTTTCATGTGGTTTCTCATCTTTGAAACTGTGCATGTTTTTATTTTCCTTTTCAAAAGACTACAAATGAACCCAGCTGGCATGGCTCAGAGTTGAGCATGGATCTATGAATCAGGAGGTCACAGTTTGATTCCTGGTCAGGACACATGCCTAGATTGGGGGATTGATCCCAATGTGGGAAGTGCAGAAGGCAACTGATCAGTGATTCTCTGACATCATTGATCTATCTATCCCAATCTGAAATCAATGAAGAATTGGGGGGGAAAAGTTGCTTGCTTTAAAAATAAGAAAATAAATAAAATTAAAAAAACTACAAATGACAAGAATGTTCCCACTCTGGGACTCTACAATGCAAACATTTCTTGTAAAGTGCTATTCAACTGATAGCATTTATTTACAAATTAAAAGCCAGACATTTTCTTAGAAAAGATTGTGTTGGGTTTCAAAAACAAGGCCCTCTCATTTATTGATTTAGGCACTCCTCTAGGCAAGTTAAATAAAGGAAATGAAACTTTTTAACCTTTATCTTGCTAAACTTACTCTTAAGCTATCGTTGTAGAAAGAAATAGATACTATTGAAAGATTTCATCGGCATTATTATTGCTCAACTTCTCAGCATCTTTTGGGAGCCTCACTTCTGATTGAACTTTCAGATGACAGCTCTTTTAAAGCTTTAATCTTACATGAATGGAAACATTGGTGTGTGTAAGAAGTATTTTGGGCCCACTGCTAAATTCAAGTTAGAGCAGAGGTGCCCAACCACTTTGAGGATATCAGAATTTCACACTTGATTATACTGAAGTGCCTAATGATTAATAAAATGCAAAAGAGCCAAAAACTTCTATGAATTCAGTGATATTTTAAGCACATTTGTATTACTCATCACAACCATATCAACATTTGGTATGGAGGATACAATTTGGTATTCGAATGGATTAATGGACTCCTTACAATAACTTTCACATGTTGCTAAAGTTTACAGCCAGCAGGCTGAAAATTACTGGTCTAGACAATTATCTATATTCAGGCTTTTATAACTATCATCTTAATTATATTTCATCTTAAAATAGCCTTAAATTAGACAGCTAAGAGGCTCAACCCCGTGTTCGGGAGCCTCTAACCCTCCTAATACATAGGAAGTCTTAGGTGCCAAATTGTCATTTGGGCCCTATGTTTAGATACATCAGCGGCACTTCTAAGTGTTTCCCCGTACATTAGGACTGCCTCAAACAGATTTGAGTGGCAGGAGTATATTAAACAGATGCTACTCAATTCCACGATAGTGTGGGACTCTGTAACGCTAACAAATTCTTGTGCAACCACCAGTTTATAAATTGGGTTTGAATAGCAGTGATGGGTTTTGTGCATTAACCCACACTTTTTTGACAAAGGTCCTATTGTAGGTTTGCATTTCATAGCATCTTGGTCAAGGGTCTAAGAGAGTTTCTTTTTTTATTTTCAGTTTATCGTTGAAAGTATTACAGGTGTCCCCTTTTTCCCCCATGGACCCCTTCCACCCTGTATCCATCTCCCTGCCCCCAGGCCTATCCCACTATTGTTTATGTCCATGGGTTAGTCTCTTATTAAGCTAAGTGCAATGAACTGTTCCATTTAGGAGCAGCAAATGATAAATCTAATTAGCATTGGTCTCAATGCTCTAAATCAGTGTTTCCCAATGTGTGGTGCACATAATCCCAGGGGTACAGGAAGAGTTTGGTGGGGATATGCACTGCACTGTGCTTAGCTGCGCCTAATTCTATGTTCTCATGAGTACAAGAGGTTCTCAGCATTAACAAAAATTATAGAAGTTCCAAACATATGTCAAAAGTTTGGGAAACACTGCTGTAAGCTAACTGAACCCAGTAACTACAAGTTTTCTTACCAGCAACGCAAATGTAGTGAATTTCTTCTAAATGCAAATTTCCATTCATAAGACTACATTTTTCTAAAAAATAGTTTGTAACCTCACAATTAACTTGTAGACAAATACAAGTCAGTACTTGATAGGAGTGGGAATGCAGATTTTTGTATCATTATTACTCAATTTTGTGATGAACTACTGTCATTATCAGCAATGGCTTAGTCACAAGCCTGTCTCAGAAAGTTACACAATCTTAGTAGTGGTTTATGGACT